CTCTGTCACTTACAGAAGCCTGAACACAGGAACTGAAAGAATTTATAAAAAAAGTTTGTCCAGAATTTAATCATTGACTTTATTAGCATTACTCATGATTTATATTGATGTAATAACAGCAGATTCCAGTCTTTTCTACTGTGTATTTTAAAGTTTACTGTCTACATAAAATAATATTACTAAATATAATTTTTGTTGTCTTCTTTTAGCTTTATACATAACTTTAAAAAAAATGTTTAATTATTGGTTTCTGGCTTTCTGATCTGACTGGCTTTCTGATCTGAATAGTCTGGGTCTGAGTCTTTAGAAGCTGATGTTAAAATAGTAAATGAGGGTTTGATTACAGATTAGGAAGTATCCGATTGGAATATTTCAGAAACCTCACAAAAATATTTGTTGATCACCTTGCACAGGGACCCAATTCTTCCTATTTAGGTCCTATTTAGGACCTAAGTCAAAGTTCCAACCAGACATTTTATTACAAATCAAAGAATAAACTTATTTTTTCAGACCTGGATCCAAATATAATCCACTTTTCTATAAAACCAAAGCTACTCAGGACCTAAAAGATTCAAAAGTTCTTTACAAAATTCTTATGGACTGAAAAGCTCAGTGTTCAAATCAATAACAAGAGTACACATTATCACAGACTGCCATAAATGACACACAGTCATCTATCAGCCTCTGAGACCATAGAGTCCAGAGACAAGTGGTTAGTAAAGACAGTGAACAAATTTAATTATTGTCACATGACTAATGAAAATATGCAGCTTAAATGTGTTTGTCTACCTACACAACTCCCATTGCTATTGTGTTCAGGTATATTCCAATTTCAAAATGGAAGTATAACAATAGCTTTTTTCCCCCTCCTCTTAAATTTTATGTGAAAATGCTGATGAACTCAGTATAACTCATTGAGATAATGATACATGAAAGAGATTTCAATTTTCCCTGTAGTTCCTTTCAAATGCTGATAGTGATCATTAAATGTCCTGTATCAGTAAACTTCATGGACTATGCCTTGTTCTTTGGAAGATTTAGTTTCCGCATAGTAGATCTCCAATACCATATATTTTATTTCATTAAAATGTGGCTTTTGCAGCAGGTCTTGATCTTTAAATCTGTGAATACTTTAGACACCTTGTTAAATAAGTATATCTCTATAGGAGTAATTTTATAGAATTTAAAACATTTATGAAATTGTAACAGTCAGAATGATACTTTTTGTCAGCAAATAGTTGTGAATATGCTACTTTTTTTGCCCTATCTTATAGACTTGCCACTCATTCAGAACCCAGTTCAAAAGAGCTGTTATAATATACAGGTGCTTTCCAAGTGGAATCAAATGATCTGACTGCTCAAAATAATGTTTGCTCACCAGGGAGAGCAAACCTAGCATAGGTAGACTCTGAATATAGAATCATAGAATCATTAAGGTTGGAAAAGACCTCTAAGATCATCGAGTCCAACCGTTCACCCAACACCACCATGCCCACTAAACCGTATCCCCAAGCGCCGCATCTACACGTCTTTTAAATACCTCCAGGGATGGTGACTCAACCACTTCCCTGGGCAGCCTGGTCCAATGTTTAATCACTCTTTCAGTAAAGAAATTTTTCCTCATGTCCAATCTAAACCTCCCCTGGTGCAACTTGAGGCCATTTCCTCTCGTCCTATCGCCAGTTACTTGGGAGAAGAGACTGACACCCACCTCGCTTCAACCTCCTTTCAGGTAGTTGTAGAGAGTGATGAGGTCTCCCCTGAGCCTCCTTTTCTCCAGGCTAAACAACCCCAGTTCCCTCAGCCGCTCCTCATAAGACTTGTTCTCCAGACCCCTCACCTGCTTCGCTGCCCTTCTCTGGACACGCTCCAGCACCTCAATGTCCTTCTTGTAGTGAGAGGCCCAAAACTGAACACAGTATTTGAGGTGCAGCC